TATATATATATATATATACCAATAATGGCGGTATGTTATGCATCAATCGCAGCCATTTTTATTCAAACTACCACACACAGGAAGCAGAGCGGGAAAACAAGAAGTGGGGTAGGCTATAAAACCTCAAAGCTGGCTTACTTCCTCATGTAATTCTCTGCCTCCTAAAGGTTCTTTTTTTTTTAAGATTGGCTTACTTCCTCATGTAATTCTCTGCCTCCTAAAGGTTCTTTTTTTTTAAGATTTTATTTATTATTTATACAACATTTTGCTTCCATATATATCTACACATCAGAAGAGGCCACCAGATCTCATAACAGATGGTTGTGAGCCACCATGTGGTTGCTGGGAATTGAACTCAGAACCTCTGGAAGAACATTTGGTGCTCTTAACCTCTGAGCCATCTCTCCAGCCCCTTCCTAAAGGTTCTTTACCCTTCCCAAAAAGTGTCACCAGCAGAGGACCAAACACAGGAGCCTATGGAAACATTTAGTATCCAGACCACAACATTCCCTGAATAGCACAGCACAGCACCATACATGACATCTGCGCTGAGTTTGTTTGGCATTCCAAGTAATCTAGAGATGATTGCAGCAAATGGGAGAAGACTCATAGGCCATATATAAATATAACACTCTCTCACCCAAGGTACCTGAGTAGATTTTGCTATTGTTGGTGGATCCTGGAACCAACTTCCCACGAGTGACAATTTTATATTAGCATTTATGGGCAGGTTTTGTGATTTGAAAAATGAAGCTGAAATTTTCATAACATTTCATCTTCCTTCACTATTATCTCGATTTAAACATTTGCACACCCTAAAAGAAACCCTGTACTACTTAGCAGTTGCTTCCAGCATCCTGCCCCTTCCCAATAACCACCAATCTACCCTGTCTTTAAGGATTTGCCTGTTCAAGACTCAGTTTACAAGTAGATCCACACACTATGTGGCCTCTCCTGTCTGGCTTCTTTTATTTAGGGTAGAATGTATCTCGGCTAATACTGTGATTGCAGGCATGCACTGCTTTACCTGACCCATCCATTTTATAAAAGAAATTTTAAAAAAATTATTATTATTTTTTTTCAAGACGGGTATCACTATGTAGCCAAGCTGGCCTCACACTCATAGAGATCCGCCTGCCTTTGCCTCTTGAGTGCTGGGATTAAAGGTGTGTGCCTCTGCTCCCAGTGAAGAGAAAATATTTTTATCATCTATGTTTGTGTGCATGTGGAAATCAGAGGACAACCTTTGGGCATTGGTTCTCTTGTTCTATGATGTCAGTCCTAGGGATTGAATTCATGTCATCAGGCTGTGACAGCAAGTATCTTTACACACTGAGCCTCTTCCTTGCTTTTAGTACTAAATAATATGCCACTCAGTTAATGTATTTATTTACTGTAATCTGATGGACGTGTTAGATTTCTTAAAACTTTTAAAATTTTGCTATTTTTATGTGTGTGTACACATGGATGTATGCCATGTGTGTACATAGCTGTGGAGGCCAGAAGAGGGTGTTGGATCCCAGAACTGGAGTTACAGGCAGTTGTGAGCTGCCCAATGTGTGGATACAGGGAACTGAGCTAAGGTGCTCTTGAAGAGATGTATACAGTGTTATTTTTGCATGTACACCTGTAGGCCAGAAGGGGGCACAAGATCTCATTACAGATGGTTGTGAGCCACCATGTGGGTGCTGGGAATTGAACTCAGGATCTATGGCAGAACAGGCAGTCTCTTAACCTCTGAGCCATCCAACCCAAGAAGCAAGCACCCTTAACTGCAAACACTCTTAACTGTTGTGCCATCTCTCTAGCCCCCAACAGTAGATCCATCTTTTCAGTTTTGAGCTGCTATATAGACTGGTTGCCTTTGACTTCAGGTTGGAAGTGTGGCTTAGTGGTAGAACTCTTGACTGTCATGCAAGAGCTCTTGAGTTCCATAGCAATACCAGAGATTAGAAGAACTCTCTGGCTGGTCAGGTTTGACCATATGTACCCCCAAAGACTTGGATCATACCATACAGGTTCGGTTGCTATAGAAACCTCAGATGCTCTTTTGGATGAGACGAAACTTGCTAGCTCACCTCTTTGTATCCCACTTGGCTCTCTTTCAGGAGACTTGTACACCCAGGCAGCTGAGGCAGCAATGGAAGCCATGAAGGGCCGACTAGCCAACCAGTACTATGAAAAGGCAGAAGAAGCCTGGGCCCAGATGGAGGAATAACTCCCCAATAAGATCCCTGCCAGCTGGTCTCAAGCAAAAGGACTGGGGGGTGGGGAGGACAGGACTGATTTCTTTTGGAAATGGGGGGGAGAAGTAGTTTTGCTATGCTATAAATTCACTTTTGTATTACATTATTTTTGACTCTTGAAAAAGTCTTTGCAACAGGCAGAGACACTATAACTGCCCTTAAGGGGTGGTATTTGGGGGGAGTGGGGGTTGAATATGCAGCCCAATGAATTACCATATATTTTTGAGGCTCCATTCTTCTTTTTTCTTTCTTTTATTATTTTTTGTCACAAGATGTAAGAAAGTGTCTTTCTGTCTGAATGAACAGACAGTATCAGGGCTGAGCATATTAGCCTTCGTAGTCTGGACTCATCTCAGGGTCTCCAGGCCCTGCGTTAGGAATCTGAATGGAATGGAGAATGGAGAGCTTTCTGTTAACTTTCCATGGGTCTTTCTTTAAGTGTGTGTGACATTTTTTTTTTCCCCAGCAGATGTGAGATCGTTCAATACCAGGCTCCTTCATACCACAGGGAGATTATTGTATAAGTTTTTTCATTTAATCTCCTCCCACTGCACACCTGATTTCTTGACATCCAGCCAAATTCCATTTTTAGAGCATACTTCCTAACTCCCCAATAAGTACACTTTACAAGATAGGTTTGGTTTTTGTACGCACACATTTACTACCTCTGAGTCCTGCATTGGTGGATGTGGAAGCAGATGTACCTCAAAGCTTTTACAGTAAGGCCATGACTTGGGAGCTGGGTGACTTTCCTCCAAGTGGAAGTGCCTCTGCGCCTCCATGGCCACATCCACAATGAGACTGAAGCATCCCTGTGCAGAATTCCACCGTCGTTCCTTGATGTGGTGACATTTTATAAACTCTGCCCTCAGCTTGCTGTCCTTGGTGTTTTCTGCTTGAAACTGGATTTTTTTGGTTATCTGAAGCAAGTGGCTTTTGGCTATAGCCCCTTAGGATTTGTCTAAGATGTTTGTGAATGAGGGCAAGAATGTAAACACTGGTTGGCTCTGGGCATCTCCCCAGGACCAAGCTGGGACTTAATGAGCATTTTCTTTAAAAACAATTCAGATTAAATGTGAGTGTGATTTCAGTTACTGTCCCAAATAGCCAAGGAAACGGCCTGCTTTGATCTACCATGGATGTTAGAGCAGCCTCTATCTTTGTTTAAAAAAAAAAAAAAACACAGAGAAAAGCAGAGTACAACATACAAGCCATACTTACCCATTTGTTAAAACAGGCCTTTTTAGCCTAATCGGTGGAAGCATATGCCTTTGATCCCAGCACTCAAGGAGTCAGAGGCAGGTGGATCAGAGTTCGAGGCCAGCCTGGTCTACAGAATGACAGGACAGCTAGGTCTACACAGAGAAACCCTGTCTCAAAAACAAAACACACACAAAAAAGCCAAACAACAATAACAAAACAGCCCAGGCCTTTTTAGGATTTCCTTGTTGAGTCTGCCCAGTCAGGAACTTGTTAGAAGCACTAGATCCTAGAGACTTGGGAGCAATGGTGCACATCTCTAATCCCAGCATTCAAGTGGTAGAGGCAGAGGGAATCCAAGTTTGAGGTCAGCCTGAGCTATATAGTTGACTTGAAAACTAAACAAACCAGAACAAAAAAGAGCTGGTGAGATGCTAAGATGGCTCCATGGGTAAAGGTTCCTGCCTAGCGTAATAACCCGAGGCCAGGTCCTAGGACCCAGCTGTGCAGGGAGGGAGCCAATGTCTGCAAGCTGTCCTCTGCTCTTCACCTGTGTGGTGTGGCACAGGTGAGCCCAAAAACGTGTGTGCTCATGCACGCACGCATGCACAGAGTGTAAAAAAAACAAAAAAGCAAAAATTATCCTTGACAACTGCTTTCATCCACTACAAATTACAAAGCCCTGGCTGGGGTTTGCATTTGACGCCATCACAGCTGGTTTTCTTTGAGAGGTTGGCACTTGTCAGGTTCTTGTGAATACCAGAACAGTAGTTGGCTTGCACTGTCCTGTGGGTATTTTAAACTAGTGCTCATGTTAGGTGTAAGAAGCAGTTTCTTTCTTTCTTTCTTTTTTTTTTAAGATTTATTTATTATGTATACAGTGTTCTGTCTGCATGTATCCCTGCAGGCCAGAAAAAGGCAACAGATCTCATTACACAGATGGTTGTGAGCCACCGTTCGGTTGCCGGGAATTGTATTCAAGACCTCTAGAAGAGCAGCCCCTGCTTTTAACCTTTGAGCCATTTCCCCAACCCCCAAGAAGCAGTTTATTGTGACATAATCTCTCAGAGTAGCTGTCACATAAGGCTGGTGTGTGCGTGCACATGAGGGTGCACTGATCAACAGACAATCTCAGTGTTGTTCCTTAAGTGCTGGGCACCTTTTTTCTTTTGAGACAGGGTCTCTCACTGGCCTAGAACTTGTCAAATAGGCTATGCTGGCTGACCAGTGAACTCCAGGTATCTGCCTGTCTTACCCTTCCTAATTCTGCGATTACCAGCTCACATCCTCTACCCATTGATTGTGCATGTCTGAATCACTTAAAGTCTCAGACCTGCAGCTGCCCCACCCACCTGGCCTTAGTGTCAGGAAGTGGTCTCTTTTCTTCCAGGGAGCTGGGCTAGCCTGGTGCACAAATAAGCAAATGCTTCTTTAAGGACCCTTGCAATGAAAAGGGAACTTTAAGAGCCTGGCGTGTAATATTGGCACTTGGAGGCTGAGGCAAGAAGAGGGTTGAGTTTGAGGCCAGCCTGAACTAGGTACTAGGACTGTCTCCAAAAAAAGTCCTGAGGGCTTGAGAGATGGCTCAGCAGTTGCGTACTGGCTGCTCTTCCACAGGACCGGGGTTCATGGCAGCTCACAACTGTCTGTACCTCCAGTTCTAGGGGATCCAACACTCTCACACAAACATGCAACAAAACACCACTACATGGAAAATAAATCATTAAAAACAAAAACCAAGGTGGTTCAAACCTGTAATTACAACACAGCTTGGAAGGCTGAGGTGGGAGGGACAGAGTTTCATGCCAGCCTGGGCTACATGACGACTTCCAGTCTAGCCTGGGTTACAGAATTAGATTCTGTCTTTAAAAAAATATAAAGCAACTTGAAAGATATCGAGGCTTACCTGCAGAAATGGTTATTTCTCCTTCCAAAGCTGGTCAGGGCATCTTCTCTCTCCCAGTGTGCTGGATCCAGCTTGTGGAGAAGGGTGGTGGGCATCACCAGTGCCTGGCACTTGTAATTAATTCTGTCTTCCAATGCAAAGCAGGTAAAAGCCTAGATTAGCAGAGCTGATCATGATGTGGTACCTTCATCTCAAAGGCAGAAACAAAGGCTTCAGGAAGAGTTGGTTCCAATGGGGTTGTTAGCTAGAGGCTAAGCTGAAGCTAGGGGCCCAAGAGCTGCTGTTTTCCAGAGGATCCTGGGAATAAAAGCATTAAAATGTAATGTGATGGCCCATTCTGTTTGCTATAGGTGACAGAGACTTAAATGAAATAGGGTTAGGGGTGAGTATGCGCCTAGCAAGGAGTCGAGGTCCTGGGTTTGGCTCCAGCACTGTAGATCATATGTAATGAGGGCTTGAAGGATTAAGAACACTCTCATCCTTCTGAACTCTGGACCAGGCGGCCCACTGAGCTATTTCCCCTTCCATCCTTGCTGTCTCTCATCCCAGCACCTTTTTCTGAATCACTAAGTGTGTTTTGCAATTTCACAAATGTTTACGCAGGTATATGCAGCTTGAGTAGATGTGAAGCAGGGAAGGGAGGGGATAGGTTTGCCATTCTCTTCTTGGATTTCCGCCTCTTCCTTACATTGATGACCTCCTGAAGGCAACTGGCTGGAGTTACAGATGCAGTTTTGTGTATATTTCAGGTTCCAGCTCATCTTTGCCAATATTTTTTTCTCTACTATCTCAAATTCACACTCTCTCTCAAATTCTCCCTCCCTGTGAAAACAGAAAGTGTCCACAGGGAGGATGAAGTAAGCCAAGGCTTACTGATGGAAGGGCGGCAGTGCTCCACCTTCAACGTGAGTTACATCACCTGGAGTGTGGGCCAACGTGGCTCCATGCGGCTTTTCATACACAGCAGAAAAAGTTCTTAATGTGACATCTCCTGATTTTTAACATTTTGTAATAAATTAATAAAGCAAGCCACCTGGATCTGACACTCATGCTGTCAGTTTTCTTTAGATAAAATATGTGAATGCTTTTGATTTGCTCATCTATAAAACAACACTCATGGCCCCTCAGAGTTGTCCTCAGATTCTGAGAAGTTTGCATGGATTCAGTGCTCTTATCCAGGGCTTTACAGGTCTCCGGTGTGATCATTTGGATCATGTTTTTTTTTTTTGTTTTTAAAAATTTGAACTTTAGTCAGGCGGTGGTGACACACGCCTTTAGTCCCAGCACTTGGGAGGCAGAGGCAGTTGGATCTCTGAGTTCCAGGCCAGCCTGTTCTACAAGAGCTAGTTCCAAGACAGCCTCCAAAGCCACAGAGAAACCCTGTCTCAAAAAACCTAAAAAACAAAAAACAAAAAACAAACAAACAAACAAAAATTGAACTTTAGCCAGGCAGTGGTAGCGCACCTCTTTAATCCCAGCTCTTGGGAGGCAGAGGAAGGCAGATCTCTGAGTTTGAGTCTGGCCTGGTCTACAAAGCAAGTTCTAGGATAGCCAGGACTACACAGAGAAACCCTGACATTAAAAACAAAACAAAAATTTGAACTTTAACCTAACTGCATGGTAGTAGATTGGTCACATATATTTAACTAATCTTGACTCTATCCTCAATGATAGATTTTTTTTTTTTAAATTTTATTGTATGTTTTCGGAGACAAGCTCACAGGACAGTGACAAAGGAGTCAACAGCAAGAAAAGCCCGGAGACTGGAACATGCATGGACTGCCACCAAGTCAGCAAAACCAAGAAAGCTAGATTCTAAATCCACAGGCTGGGTATGGTGGTTTTTGTATGTAACCCCAGCACTTGAGAAGCTGAGGCAGGAGGATTCTGAGTTTAAAGCCAACCTCAACCACACAGGGATATCTTGTCACAAAAACCTTTTAAAAAAATAACTTTAGCTGGGTGTTGGTGGCACATGCCTGCCTTTAATCCCAGCACTCAGGAGGCAGAAGCAGGCAGATCTCTGTGAGTTCAAGGCCAGCCTGGTCTCCAGAGCGAGTGCAAGGATAGGCTCCAAAGCTACAAGAGAAACCAAAAAAAAAAAAAAAAAAAAAAAAAAAAAAAAAAAAAAAATAGGATCAGTGGAAAGAACACTGAATCATCAAACCATCAATCAGACTTGTTCACCTGTAGCCTTTGTATTGGGGGTCAGTGTCCTTGGCGCCCTGCTGAGACACCAGGCACAGCAAATGAGGGTCCTTCCTTTATTACGAGGAATTGTGGTAGTGTGGGTGTATTTGGCCCCATAAACTCAGGGAGTTGCACTATTAGGAGGTGTGTTCTTGTTGGAGGAAGTGTCTTAATGGAAGAGGCTGGATGACACATCCCTTTAATCCAGACCTCAAGGCTGGAGAGCACACCTTTTGTGTGTGTGTGTGTGGGGGGGGGGATTTGAGACAGGCCTGGACACACATTGCCACAGGTATCTTACACTATGGACACATTTCTATTCTGAAAGCCAGGTATACAGTTCACAAATAGTCCTTCCTGGCAATGAAATACCCTGAGCAGTCGGAGACATGTTGATCTCAGAACTAGTCTCCACTCAGCCCTGGACTCCTGCCATACCTGACCCATTTCCTCAATAGATGGCTGCTTTATTTTTAAAAGCAACAAACTCTCCCAGAACCATGAAATCTTTGTACAGCTGTTAAAGGTGGAAGGGTGGAAAGAAAAACAAAACAAAATAAAACAAAACCCCCAGCAGATTAAAGAGGATTTGGGGAGAGAAAATTATGAAATGCCCAAATGTCAGGATTGTGCCAACCCCAAAAGCGGTCTGCGTGGCTTTCTAGGGGCATGTCTAGAATGCAGAGTGGAGTTACTGCAGGATTGCCTTAGTAAATAGGGCTAAGTACTACAGCCTGGAGTCATTGCATTCAGCTGAGTTACCACTGAGCAAAGGGAC